TTGTCCAGGGTTTTCCCGCCTTTTCATTTTCCCGTGGTTCCCACCCCTTTTTTTGGGGAATTGTTCCCCCGAGTTCAATTTCCTCTGCCCCACAAAACCCCTATCCACGTTCCCCCGGGTGACCCCTTTTAAGGGCAAAAATTAAGGGGGGGGCCCGGCAATTTGTTGAAGGAAGGGGAGTTTTTCCCGGGGGGGGTTGCCAATTGGCCCCAATTTTTGTTTAGGGTTTTTCTATATTGTGTTGGTTTTGGGTTTGTGTTTCCTAGGTTTGGGAAAAAGACCATTGGCAGGAAATGGGTGCCCCTTTTGGGGGGGGGGGCCACGTTAAACCCCCCCCCAAATTTCCCCCCCTCCGGAGCGGATTGGATGCGAAGGGGGCCCCAGTTTGAATGGGGTTCCAAAAAAACAGGAAACCCGGGTCTTGGGGGTTTTTTTGTCTTTATTTTCCTCCCTCTCCATGTTAGGACCTTTTTTCGGTGCGAGGGGTAACAAAAAGGGGCACCCAAAGTTCCTCGTTGTGGTTTTATTGGATTGTTTGCAAGCTCCAACTTTTGGAAATTTGGGGCCAAGAACGGGGGGCCCCCCCCATTTCCCCAAATACTCCCCCTTTGGTTTTGGGTCCCGTTTTCCCCCTCCTCTCCCCCGGGCCCGCCTCCATCCGTGCGAGGGAAAAAACCACCCATTTCCCCTCTTTTGAGCCAAAATTTCCCTTACCCCTCCCCTTTTTTTGTTGACAGGGGCATGTGGGCGTTAATTGGTGAGTTACCACCCCCAAAGCCCTTGTTAACACTTTTTCCCAAATGCAACAAAATACGGTTTTTCCCTAGGCTGGTGATATTTAAAAGGACCAACCCCTGAAAAAAAACCCCACACCATAATCACCCCTCAACCAAACTTTACTGGTACAATGCAGTCAAGCAAGTATTGTTCTCCTGGCAACTGCCAAACCCAGAACCCAGACACGTCCATCGGATTGCCAGACACAGAAGCGTGATTCATCACTCCAGAGAACACATCTCCACTGCTTTAGAGTCCAGTGGTGGCATGAGCGACCCATTCTTTCACAAATGTTTGTAGAAGCAGTCTGCATGCCTAGGTGCTTGATTTTATATATCTGTGTAGTGCTACCATCTTGAGGGCCGCTTTGTTTCCAGGTACCCCTAAGCTCTGCACAGCTAGGCAACACATTTTCCACGCTTTCATCCACAGTCTATGAGCTTGGTTTTTGTTATTTTATTAGGGACTATAACTTGGATAGGGTAATAGGGATTATGCGATGCCCAACTTGACTGAAATGATGCACAGGGACACTGTCCTTCCTATTTGCAGAAACAGATCCTGGATTGTTCTTTTCCTTGAAAGCCATCAGTCTTTGCAGATAAGCCTTTATGTAAGTTGCATGCAGAGATGTCTCGTCTCCCCTGTAGAACTGCTCCCAGCTCCACAGCCTACAGACACCATTAGCCCTCCTGCTCTGAAGATCTCTCAGACAAGGATAAAGAATTAAGCAAAATTGTCCTTTCAAAGCTTGGTACACATGGCAGTCTCTTCCTTTGTGAATGTCAGGATGTGCTGATGTACTCACTCTGTCCTCCTTGTTCCCACTGCTACCAGGCCTTGATCCTGTTCATGCCGTACTGCTGAATAGATCCTCTGGAGCCAGCCCGAGCTCAGCCTGGAGGCTAGCCCTCCCCAGACCTAGGGGACCCCTCCCAGGCCACCGACAGTCTCTTCAGCACTCCAGGGTGCTTATTTCATCCAGCAGATTTTTCTGTTTACTTGAAGGTTGGTAAAACCCAGTTTGGGACCTAGAGTCTGGAGATTTCATAGAGATTTGGGAGAGAGGAAATCTTTAATTCTGGGACCTGGTTTTACAGGCAGCCAGCACACTGATGGTACAATTATTCATGACTGTTATAGTCTGGGACCTGACAGTAAATCAGAGCTCCACCTTCCCAAGTCTGTGTTGTTACAATGGAGCAGCCAGAGGTGTGCATATCTGCAAGATGCAGATGGTAACAGAGTGGAAAAGAGCGGAAAGAAAGCCTCGCCTTGATTATTGTAACTCCCTCCTCATTGACCTACCTAATCTCAGGCTATGCTTTCTTCAGTCTATCATGAATACTACTGCCAGACTCATCCACTTTACCAAACATTCCATGTGTGCATTCCCTCTCTGCCAATCCCTCCACTGACTTCCCATTGCCCAACCAATAAAATTCAAAACATTAACAATCACATATAAAGCCATTTATAACTCTGCCCCAAATTCTATCACCAATCTTGACTCCAAATATTATACTGTCACGTACCTGATGGGAGACTGAATTGACGAGGTCGGCTTCACTTGTGTCACTAGCCCTGACCCCGCTGAAGTTGGAACAGAGGGAGTTTAGGGACCAGGGGGACAATAGCGCCAGTAGTTGTTGCTTGCAGCTCTTGCAGGTGATGACCTTGGTAGGCAGAGTATCCTCTGATTTGGGCACCGTAGAAATAGACCAGGTAGGTTCTGTGGATTGCCAGATGTGCAGCAGAGCAAGGTAGGTAGCCAGGACACAGGACTGGAGCAGAGTCAAGGATAGCCGGGGTCATAAACAGTCGGGCAGCGCGGTACAGAGTCAGAAGGAGAAGCCAAAGTCAGGAGCAAGCCAAAGTCAGGAACCAGGAGCAGGAGAGTAATCGGAGTCGGGTCAGGAACAAGCCGGGTCAGCAACAAAGGAATCGTACGGAAGTAGCAGGACACGGGGGGAGCTGAAGACCAGTCAGCACTGAACCTGAGCAGAGGCACTCCTTAAAATGGGTCGTCTGGTGCCAATCTTTGCCGTGCGTGTGCGCAATCGCGCATTCCTGCGTGCATGCGTGCAACCGGCAATTCTCCTGCGGGAATGCTTGTGCACATGCGGGTTCTCGATCGCGTTTCTCATTGCCGGAAATCCCTTACACATACAAACCGCCTTCTCCACTCCTCCCACAACCTCCTTCTCTCTAGCTCCCTTGTCTCCTCCTCCCATACTCGTCTCTAGAGCCTCCCTCATCCTCTCTGGAGCTCTCTACCCCAATCTATCTGACTATCGCCGACTCTGCCCACTTTTAGGCAATATCTGAAAACCTATCTCTTCAAGGAAGCTTATTTTTTCCCACAATTCTTTGGAAGATTAAGAATTTAAATAACATTTTTTTTTCACAAAATTGTCAAAAATAAAAAGTTATTTCTCTCACATGGTATAGACATTCTTGCAATTACACTTCAAAATACATTCTGTTACTCCTCCTGGCAATACCACATGTGCGAGACGTTTTCACAGCCTAGCCACGTAGAGGCACAGCATCCAAGGAGCACCAGGTGTTCTAGGGACATAAATTACACCTTAGGTCTCAGCTGTGAGGCAGGGAGTGTGTTTTCCGAAACGCGTCAGCTATTTCCAACCAGGCAGTTGGGACAGTGATGAGGATAATACTGTGTGAGTTGGTCTGTGGGATCAGATCTAAGGCCTATGCTTGGGGCCTGCAAGCAGCTGTGTGACAAGAGTGAGCCATGCAGCTGCTTGCAGGCACCAAGTATGGTGGAAACCCATGCAAAGGCTACTGATTTCTGTGAACTTTTTTTTCTTTTTAATAAAAGTGGGCCAACCAGCCCTAAAACTGCAATTTCTGAAGTGTACTGAAGTCACTGGGAAGCACTACTACTGAGTTAAACAACCCCCAAACATCACAATATATATACTGTACATGTATATTATACAAACTGTATTGTACCTTTCTGTTTTTCTAGAACTGCAATAAAATTGCAACCACAGCATCTGAGGCGTTCTATACACTCTATGTGTCTTAGAGATTAGAAGGAGAAATAGAAACCTTTAAAGCTTCATTTTAGTGACCTTTTTTTGTGTACATAACATCAATACTGGAATAAATACAATTTCAACACAGTTCTAACAAAATTACCTCCAAACTGAGTATGATGAATAAAAACAAAGTGCCACATTTTAAGTCGTGTTAAGAACATCCTGTCATTCATTATGATAATTATGTTCTTCAGTGAAGCAGCTGACCCTTACAATTACAGCATTCCTCTCCATAGTTTGGTCTGTATCTTGACCTCTCTTTTATGTCTAATTTTGCTTCTAACAGGTTGCTTAATGACACATCCTCCCTGGCTCCCTCCAGTCTGCTGTCTGTTTATTTTGGTGCAACCACTAGAAAGAGGAAAGCGTGGATGGGCCTGAACGAAGTGACGTAAATAATTATGCATGATGCTGCATGTACTGCTATTATGTAAACTGGATGGCTGTTGGGACTATGCACATGCCAATGTCTCTCTTATAATAAAATGGGAGACCAGCATTTCTTACACAAAGCTTATCTGTGTTCAATAAATTAACAAAAGAAGCCAGCTAAATAAAAACTTTACTTTGTTTTGGATTTTTTGGTTGCTCAATATTCTATAGATTTCATTCTAGGAATTTATGTCAATGTGCAATGTCATAAGGAAAAGAGAAATATGGCTCTATCTAATGTATTTATGAGCTACTTCCTACTTGCTGAGTAGCTCTTTGGCAATTTAATACCTCTGGATACCCCACAAGGTTGTAGGGTGGTGAAAACAGCCAAGGCAGCCGGATGGGGTTGTACACTTCCCACAGCTGCTATGCTTTGCTTTACGGTGCATCAGGAATTATACTCCCTGTCGCATTCATTGGGCAGTACCACCCACAGAACGTGACCCATTCAAGTGGCTAATGTAAATTTCTCTTGTGCGCAAAAGCCTAAAACTCATTAAAATAATACTCAGAGTCCATCTAGAAACAAAACTCATTGCCTATGAACTTTGCTAAGACAGTATATGGCACAGGCATTTAAAGTGATTGCTGCAAAGAATTGGCACAGCCCTAGATACACATTGATATGAGATTAGGAACAATTGCTCCCTATGGGCAATCCTTGTATCCGAAAATATGTTTTGTATTTAAAGATAAACATGTTTAGTTTCAGCCTGGGGCGGACTGACAACTCATGGGGCCCCCCGGGCAATAGGGGATCATGGGGCCCCTGTGTCCTTGCCCAAACTCAAAAAAGCCTATGAAAAAGGTACCAGGGGTACCATCTCATGGGGCCCCCTACTGACCCCGGTGCCTGAGTTTCCAAACAGTCAGTCCGCCCCTGGTTTCAGGATGAATTTCAGCAATTCCAGAAAAAAAAATTGTGCTCTCTTTCAGTCTCACTCAATTTACGCGAGAATTCATGTGTGAGGGATGCTTGGATCAAGAACCTCCATGTACAGGCTTACCAAAAAAGCATCTTTATACATACATAAATTCTTGTCACCACTGTGCGCCCTGGCGCCACCATCTTGGATTTGGGCCTTCTTTGACTTCCTGATGAAATATAACCAGCTCCTAATTACATATGTGCAAAATCATGTAGCACAGGAGACTGGACTTGCAGCCTCCTGGTACATGTGATGTGTCCCAGGAGGCTGCAGGCAAGGAGGGAGAAAGACGAGCAACACCATCTTCATCTAGTTGAGGATGCAGAAGTGGGAGCAGGTGGCAACAAAAAACATTACTCTCCAAAAAGACAGCGACTCAATTACAGACTATTTAGGTTTCTGGTCTCCAGTTTGGTTGTTATCACTAGGAACAGGAAAATACCCTTTGACAAATGAAACTTCTGAAAAGTGCTGCTTAACAGGAGCAAGACATTTGCCTCCATCAGACAGTTCATAGGTGTTTGGCCCTTGTTAACATGTTACTCTGAGTGGATTGGAAAATTTGGATTATGCCTGTTTCAGTAAGCCAGGTTTATTTGCTATTGAAGCTCAGGACTGACCATGTTATAATAAATATGTTTCTGGTAATTATTTTTAGCCCTCTTTATCACTCGTCTATTTGCACTGTTTAGCCTGATTGATGTATGCACAAGTGAAAGGGTTGGCTGATAGCGCCAATTTCCTTTTATTTTACATTATGAGAGGAAAGGGATGTTGGAGAGGGATTCACATATTTTGTGTATTATTCATGTAATAAATTGAACTATTCTACAACAGCAATTTTCTTATGCCTTCTCTTGTGTTCATTACATTTGCGGTTTTGAATATACTGCAGGTCCACTTTATTTGATCCCTTTTTTTAGTATCTTCTGGGCACATGGAGACATATTTTAAGGATATTTTCATATAGATGTCTTAACTCTAATTAGAGGAGGGGGCTGAAAGTGTACTCCTTTTGCTCCATATTTCTGATCAATATGTGCCTTTGACAATCTCATCAACTGATGATTTGAAATGCACAGGGCTTTGTGGGAGTTGTGTTTCTGCAACTTGTAGTAGTAGATGTCTCTGTACTATTTGCAAACTGAAGAGCTTCTTTAATACCTCTGTTGAATCTTTCAATCTCCCCATTTGCTTGGGGGTCATAAACTGAAGATTTCCTATGCACAATATTTCTCTCTCTCTCAGGAAGGATTCAAACTCAGATGAAACAAATTGAGGTCCGTTGTCTGACACTAGTTTCTTTGTGTTACCTTTCATGCTGAAGACTGGAGAGAAATGTAATTACAGTAGCAGATGTTATATTTGAGACAAATGCATTTTATGGCCATTTACTGAAAATCTGCACTCCACAGGTGCCTCTATGAAAGGGCCTAAAATATCAATGGCATGCTTTTCCCAAGCAGAATCTGAAAATGGCACTGGCTGGAGTGGTGAAGTGTGTGTGACTGCAAATATGTAATGATTAGTTGGGTATCCATGCCTGGCCACCAATATAGTTTACATAATCTTTGCTTTGTTGCTACACTTCTTTGGTGACTCTCATGCGCAAGTTGTATAATGCTTTCTCAAGGTCTCTGGTACTATTAAGGATGTGAGTTCCACGGACAATATAGCCATCAACTGAGGATGGTTTATGTAAAGTTGTAAAAACAGAGACCAATTTATTTTCAATTTATTTTATTATTCCAACAAGTTCAACCAACAGAGAAAAAAGAGGACACACACACAAATAGAAAACCTTCATATGCACTATCCTATACCCACAATTGATCAAGAGGAAGGGAAAAAAAAAACAATAAAACATGATCCAATCTGCTCCAGCAGAGGAATAAAATTCCATCCTGATCCCCTAAGAGGCAATTGGATATTCCCTGGATCGACTTTATCTAGAAAATACCTTACGTTTTGAGAATGTCCTGTAATTGTACTTGCACTGGACATGCAAGACAAGCTTGTTCTAGTATTCTAATAACCTCTTACCATCCAGAGGATTTACCCCCTTCCTGACCTGACCATTTTTTACAATATGGCGCTGCTTTATTTTAACTGACAATTGTGTGGTCATGTAACACTGCACCCAAATGAAATTTACGTCCATTTTTTAGGCTCACATAAAATCCAGTGTTTCCATGCTCCATAATAGAAACCTCACAGCCTGATCAGCAGGGGGTGACAGGACAATGTTCAAACAATTCTCAAAATGGCCACTTGGAACACACCGCACAGCGTGCGTTCCACTCACTGGATATGACACGGGACGTCAAGACAGCAGACCAGAAGTGTGTCGACGGCGTGCGGTGCGTTCCAAGTGGCCATTTTGAGAATTGTTTGAACATTGTCCTGTGATCCCCTGCTGATCAGGCTGTGAGGTTTCTATTATGGAGCATGGAAACACTGGATTTTATGTGAGCCTATGGAGGCAATAAAAAAGGCTGTTTTTTTCTGACAAATGTGAGTGGTCTGGCTATGTTTTTTAGCATTATAAAGTAGTAGCAGGATTACACTATTTTATATTTCTTTCCTTTGCATTGCTGTGGAGTCTGGAGTGAGGACAAAAGCAGGAGCCAATAAGGAGTTCCTCCCAAATCATTTATGGTGGAAAGGAGTCCAGGAGTTTTAGAGGGGGCTTGGGATCCCTAGATATCCCAAAAGGTGTATTACTCACCTCTAGTGAGTGCGGTTGTTATTGGTTTTCTCACTGGTGAATGGTGGAAGCAATTTCCTAGTTTGGACTATTCGTTTTTTCACACACACACACACACACACACATATATATATATATATATGTTATCACTTGGGAATAAGGACTTTTATTATGATTTTAAAAAAAAAATCTTTTTATTTGGACATTTTTTATTGATCTTATCACTTTCAAGTTTGTATTATTTGAAATAAGGTGTTTATTTTCAGTGTATAAATAGCTAATGAGTTTGTTAGCTCTTACGTGGAAGTACTGACTAGGCTAGATACTGAGCCATGGGGATCAGAAAAGAACAGTCAAAAGTCCTGCGTAACAAGGTAATGGAACTTTATAAAGATGGAAAAGGACATAAATATGCCAATCAGTACTGTTAAATCACCTATTAAGAAGTGGAAAGTTTGGGGATGTCTTGATACCAAGCCAAGGTCAGGTAGACCAAGAAAGATTGCAGCCATAACTGACAGAAGAATTGTCTGGGATTCAAAGAAAAACCCATAGGCAACCTCAAAAGAAATACAAGCTGCTCTAGTCAGTGCTTCCATTTAAGAGCTAACAAACTCATTGACTCATTATACACTGCAACTAATTGCACTTTAAAAAGCCACAGATGTGGGACATTAACCTCTAATTGGCATTTTAACCCGTGTGTGCCACCTTGTGTGTCTGTACCAAGGCCATACATTTCAGGGTATGTAAACTTTTGATCATGGCCATTTGGGTGATTTCTGTTATCATTATGGTTTAAAAAGGAGCCAAACAACTATTTGATAATAAATGGCTTCGTGTGATCATCATCCTTCAATAAAAGAGCATTATTTGGCATGATCAGTCATATTTTCAATATCAATGCCAAAATTTCCCAATTTCTGCCAGAGTATGTAAACTTTTGAGCACAACTGTACACATGTTTTTGCTCAACCATGCCACCCTGTAGCAGTATTTCTTGTATAGGGTGGCGAGGAAGCGGTTAAACTGATTCTAAAGGAAAAGCATTTTTACCTTAATATATTATCTTCCTTAAGGCACAAAACCTTTCAATGTCAGCTACCCCCCCCCCCCAACTACTTACCTGAGCCCAATCGTGCCTGTCTGCAGCAGCGCTGTTTTTCTCTCCCCTCTCTCATAGGAAGCTCAGCAGCAGAGGGAGCCATTGGTTCTTGCTGCTTTCAATCAAATCCTTGGAGGGGGAATAGGGGGTTTGGACTGAGCAACACTGTGTGCCCCCATAGCAAGTGGCTTTCTCGGGGGTACACTCAGTAGAGGAGAAGCCTGGAGCACCAGCAGGGTCCCCAGCAAAGGAGGTTCAGGTTTGCTAAATGCAGTACCATTGCACAGAGCATGAAAGTATATACATGTTTGTTATTTTCAAGTTCTTCTCTTACAGAAAAAGGTATCTCAATTTTTGACACACTTGTTGGACATCTGGTCTCAATTTGTGTTCAGAGTTATTTGCATAGCCCAGTGAGGTGTTACTGGGTGATGCAGTTTTGGACATTGGTAACATAAGGACAACTGGAGTTATTGTGATAAGACCAACATTTCATTTTAGGTTTAGTGCAACAATAAGATACCTTCCAAGTAGAGTAGTGCTTTCTCTACAATGCAGAATTCTGCTTGCACACTAGTTGATTGAAATATTACAGTCACGACCACGCCTTCGTATCACGTAAGCATCTCCCCTTGGTTCGCGCTATTTCTATTCTTACGGTACCGTGGTCTGACCATGAGCCTATTTTGGTGGTCTGTCAATCTCTTCTATGTAGGCCGGCCTTTTCTTCGTGGATAATGAATGACTCCTTGCTTTTGCTGAAGGAGATTCAGACAGAACTCCATCGTAAATCTCAGGAATACTTCCAATTAAACTCGGGTTCTGTCTCTTCCTCAGTAACGTTATGGGAAGCGTACAAGGCAGTTCTTAGGGGACATATTATCCAGATAGCTTCAAAACGAAAGAAGGAACGACAGATTAAACAGTGTCAGTTAGAATCAAAGTTGACCTCCATATCGGCCCAATTTAAACAGTCACCTACCCCGATCGAATCGTAGATTGTTGGATCAGGCCCGTTTAGAACTGGATCTGTGCTTAACGGATGAGGCTGAACGCTCCTTACGTTGGACACGCCAGAAGTGGTATAGTAAAGCAAACAAACCGGACT